AAGTAAAGAAAAAAAATTCTTTTACTAATAGACAATGTTTTTTAATAGAACGTGTAAAACCCAGAGAAAGAAATTATTGCCTTTTTAGAATAATAATGCCCTTTTTTTAAACTTTTGCACCCTGCCCTTTTTTCTGCCTAGAATGAGCTCTGCTACCAGATAATATATCATAGGTTAAAGTAAATTTATAGGTGACTTGGAGCTTTTTCCCAGTTTCTGAAATTTAACCCACAAAGCATTGAGTCCCTGAATTCTGAATAATTTAAGTTATAAAATATTGGTTTATTCTGCCAATTTTTCAAATACAGTACAGAACCTGTTATCCGGAAAATCAAAAAACCGGAACAAAATTCGATAAATTTTCTCGATATTTTAAAAAAAAAAAAAAAAACATTTTTCCTTAAAAGATTTTAGGATTTTTCTTTCTTTTTTGAAAGATGTTTACCTTACCATCATTTTGGAAATGATCATTAGTGTATTACTTCATCGTTTTTTCTTTTTAGGATTATTTCCAACTATTTTTGTTTTTTTTAATTGGGTTTAACAATTTAAAAAAACTGCTTTTTGTATCGATTCAGAAAACTGGAAAAATCAGTTATCCGGAATAGCGATGGTCCGATCGTACCGGATAATCTCTACTGTATAATTATTAATTTTGGCAGAAAATGTTTCCTCAATAACTTTCTGCGATTTCTGTAACCTCAGAAGGAACATTTACTTTGTATAACATGTTGTTTTATTTAACCTTCATAGTTATCGTCTATAGCTATAATTACAATACACAGTCAGTTATTTGTTCAACCATTTTCTTTTCCCAAATATTTATTTAAGATTTTCATCATTTTAAATTCTCATGTCCTATCTCATGCACTGTGTCCTGATAATGTATGATCTGTCATGTTAAATCCTCATGTTCTCTCCTTTCAAATCCTCATGACAGTATTAATTACAAAGGGTAAAAAAAGTTATACCCTGTTGTTGAGAGTGTGATATGTCAGATGAATAATCTTGTCTTAGGTATTTTTTATGCTCTTTCTAATTTTAATGTTTAAAAATAAAAAATTTAGAAAATAAAATATTTTATTTCGCATTTATGCAGACAATTCAACTAACCCTACGCTTTAATTTTAAAAAAAATAATAATTGATCTTTCAAATTGAATTAAAATATAATTCAGATATTTAATATAATCGCAGTTAGAAATAAAAATCTGTATTTCCATTAGCACATAAACTTGATTTTTTAGGAAGGAAATTTAGATTTCAAATATTTAAAAAAGGCTAATATTTAGATACAAAAGTTACAGAACATTGTTTTCATTAGCAAAAAGTTCTAATTTGTTAAAGTGTTGATTAGTACTATTTATTTATACTTTTGTTTGGTTACTTTTATCTTTTAATAAATAAATGCTGTTATTAACATATTTTTTTTTAAATATTTTTTTAGTGGAAACACACCTGAAACTAGAGGAACAGCATTTGTTGTTTATGAAGATATTTTTGATGCAAAAAATGCATGTGACCATTTGTCTGGATTTAATGTTTGTAATCGATATTTAGTAGTACTATACTACCAATCCAACAAGGTATGTCTTTTATTTGTTTATTTTACTTTTTTTTTATAGAAATTTTGACTTTTTTAGTTAAGTCCATTTTGTTGTGTACGTGTATGTGTATTTATACATAATATGAATGCATATATAAACGATTATTTAAAATAATAAATATAAGCTATCTCTTATTAACTCACACTTAAGCAGCTGACAAAAATCTGCATAAATGCAACAGATTTACATTTCAATATAAAAGTTATAACAAAGGGTTAACAACTCTTCGATGTGAATGGTATTTGTATTTGCTTCAATTTTTGTCAGCTACTCTAATATGCATGACTGTTAGAGATGCACTGTTTATGTGTTTAACAAATGCCCTAGTCATAAATTATTAATATTTTATGAGGGTTTTTTGGTGTGTCTATTTATTTATTTGTTTTTTCAAAATTTAAATATTTTGTATAGGAATATTTCAACTTTGTATAGGAATTTCATTGTTTAACAATTTCTTCATATTTCTTTGTTTATTGCTGTGGTGCCATTTCTTTAATGTGATCATATAATCTAGAATGCAATCATTATTCATTTCTAAAAATTGACTGTATTCACAAACAGAATGTCTACTTTACATAAGAAATTATTTGGTATTTTCATAATTTTGCATGAGATTTTATCTTTTAAAAAAACTGCATTAGAGTTGGATTTTGCAAGTTTACATGAGTCTATAAGATGTAATTTTTAAATAAAAATCCTAATTTCGAAGAGAAACTACATATGTTGAATTTTTGGATAAAGTGACGCAAATTAAAATTTTTTTTTAAACATATGAAAAAACTAAATTTGATTTTAAGAATGCTATTTTTTAATGAACTTTTGTTTGTTGTTTGCTGCTCTTCTTCTTTTATCATTACCAAGTGTGCTATTTTTGCTATTACTATTTGATAATACTTTTTCACATTATCATTTATCTCAACTGCGAATTTTAGCATAATCAATTCCTTTCTGATATTGAATACTGATGCCACTAAAACTTTTGCTTTTGGAAGTTTTTTTTTTTCGAAATAATTCTAAAAAATATTATTACTGTTAATTTTGCAATATTTTTTTTATTTTTTTAAATTTTTATTTTTATTTTTTTTTAATGCTCTATTACACTTGCATATCATAATATATATTTTTGCATTTTATGTAGTATACTTATTTAATGCCACTTGCTAGCTTTTAAAGTGAAACTTCCGTTTAGCGGACACCCTTCAAACCGAAAAAAATTTCCATTTATGAGAAGGGTACATTAATAATAAAGGCTAACGCCATCTATAGTTTTTAGAACAGTTGCACTAATATAAAAAATAATTAAATAATCTATAATAACTGTTAACAATGATATTTATTTTGAACTTAACAAAATTATAATATTTAAAGTACGAAAAGAATAGATGAAAAAATTTTATATCTATGCATGCTCTTGTTTTTAATGTTTCCAGTTCAAAAGAAAGATGTGATAGAAGTTTGTTTTCAGCAACTGTAAACTACCATTTCGTATATTTTTAAATCATTAGCATTTTTACACCTATTTCATCATTTTTGAATTGAAAAAAAAAAATCTCAAAGTCTCAATACAAGTTTAAGTACCGCGCAAAGTTTTCACTTTTGTTTCTTCTTCAATAAGTATCAATTGAGTATTAATTTCTTCATTATCACTCTTGGCATCCTTATTTGTGACCTTTTAAATAATTTTGTTAATATTTGAATCATTCTATCGACAATTAGTATTCTCATCAATGTTTACGAAATAATTACCATTTATAACACTTTTGCCAGTTGAGAAAATCAAATTTGTTAATTCAGAAAGATAATAATACCTTCTCAAAGTTAAATCTCTCTCTCATGATGCATAGGAAAAAAGACTGTAGTATTCAGAATCGATCATTCGTCAAGAGTCCGAATAAATGTTTGATTTATATGAACACCTCACAATGACTAAATTTATAGTCTCTCTCTCTCTCTCTCTTTTTCTTTTCTTTTTTAACTCAGCTGTGTTAAGTACAAGGGTGATTGTGATTAGAAGAATAAAGGGATTTTCATTTTGGAAGGGGAATTTAGAGCATATAATGTGTCTTTTTTTTTAATCGAAAATTCTCCTTGGTTTTGTAAATATTAGAAAATTTGTTATAGTCTCGGCTGTTCCTAAAACTGAAAAAAAATTTATTAAAATAATTTTCCCCTTTTTTTTAGCAGTTTATTTTTTGTTTGAATGTTAAATAAATGTTATTTCTCAATAATAAGATGTATATGTGTAATTATTTGTACAGTACAGAACCCGTTATCCGGAAATCGGAAAACCAAAAAACCGGTACGAAATTCGATTAGTTTTCCCGTCATTTTTTAAAAAAAAAAAAAAAATTCCCTCATAAGATTTTAGGATTTTTCTTTCTTTTTTGAAAGATGTTTACCTTACCATCATTTTGGAAATAATCATTAGTGCACTACTTCATCGTTTTTTCTTCTTTTTGCGATTATTTCCAATTTTTTTTTTTTTAGTTGGGTTTACCTATAAAAAAAAACGGCTTTTTGTAGCGATTCAGAAAATCGGAAAAATCAGTTATCCGGAATATCGATGGTCCCGATCGTTCCGGATAATCGGTTCCCTACTGTAGTATAATTTATTTGAAGTTATTTTTTCGAGTTATTTTAAATTTTTAGAATTTTATACTTTTTTATAAAGTGAATGTCTATTGCTATTCAAATATATAATATAGGTAACAATAACAATTTATACAATGATTCTTAATTTTTTCATTATTTTTGAAATGAGTTCAAAATATGTAATAAAAGCATTTATTATTATTATTAAAGCATTAATAAATATATAATAAAAGCAAATATACAATTAAAGTCTATCATAAATAGCAAGTATTGCAAAATATGGGCTAATTATTAGTGCATTATAGTTTTTCATTTTATTGACTATGAAAATTCCAGAGTCCAGATTAGATAGTAGTTAGTATGAGAATTATATTGTAATATCTATTATGCTTTCACATAGTATTTTTACTTTTTTAAACTTTTTGAGGTAATTGTCTTTTTGAAATTTATATAAATTGATTAAAGTTCTGAAACTTGTTTTGATGTTTAGGCATTCAAGAAAGTTGATACTGATAAGAAACAAGAGGAAATAGATAAAGTCAAAAAGAAATATGGAGTTACTACTGATGACTAGTGACACACAAAACAAAGTGGTGAAAAAATATACACTTCTTGTACATATTTGAGTTTTTATTTCCTTTTTTTATAAAATAGTAAAGGGAAGCATAATCTTTAATTTGTATGTGTTCAAAATAAAATATGTTTGCCAAAAATCTCATCTTTGTTGAAAGTTCATTTGTATCAAATAGTTTCATTTATATTAGTTCTTTAAAATTAGAATTTTGTATCATTTATTAAAACAAAATCATTCAGTGTAAATTTTAATGAAAGCATTAGTTATAACAATGCAATACAAATAATATTTTGTAATTTTTTTTTAGTAATTGGTTTTGCAAAACTGTAATAAATGGTATTAAATTAGGTGAAGTTATTCTTTCCATAATTATTGATAGTTTTTTATTAAATTTACTCTGGATTTTAATACTTTTGCGTTATTTTAACTTTAGAAACAATGTTTTGTCCTCAAATAAATATTTTCACTTTTTTATATTTAGAACACTTAAATATAAAACAAAATTTTATATGTACTAGACTAATTCTTAGTTAATCTGAATTTTACAACATGTCTTTAAAATTTTTCATTTGTTATCTGAAAATGTTTTTAATGGGAGATGTTTCTTTTCAAAGTCAGTTTTGTAGAATTTGAACTGATTCTGAATTGCTTTAGATTTTTTAAAAGTGAAAACCTTTCTTTTTTATCTTTATTCTTAAAAAAATCTTATTAAATCTTAAAAAAAGACGTATAGTTGATTTATTTTGAATAAAAATCAAAGGAACTTTTTCGTATGTATCAAAACCAGCTTAGTACAAAAAAGATTTTTTAATTTTATTAAAAAACTAAAATGTTTTTGTTAATGAATACTTAACAATGATCTAGTTTTTCTTTTTAAAAAAATGGATAATACATAAAACCAGGTACAAAATTGTTTTGAAATTGTCAAACCAACTAGACTTGGAATTGTTAAAAAAAAATACAAAAATTGCTTTTAACTTATATAAAAATGTTTTTGTGATAAGAACATTCTTATATTAGATGTTTTTAAGCAAGTTTTTTCTAAAAATTTAATATGCTTTAAAAATTCTTCTGTAATCTAAAGATTGTGTAAATAACTGAAAATTGAACTTTTTTTATTTTAGTTTAATTGTTCTTCACTTATAGTTCACTTCACTTATTCACTTTTTGTTTTAGTTTCCATGTTATTCACTTTGACCACAATGGTCACATTTATTCTTAACTAAATTTTCTTTTAATAATTTTTCATGTTACCAAATATTTAAGAATCCTTAATTTAAATTAGTTATTTTAATAATTTTTTTAAATTTTCTATTAAAATGAATAATTAAGTTATTGATTACTTTTAGATTTTGATAATGTATTACAATATAAAGTATTAGCTAGATATACGTATATAATACATTATCTTTGACTTAATAAATAATAAAATGAAAACATAATCTAAACACAAATAATGACACTAATTTCACAAAAAAAAATATTTATTTTACAATATACTATACAAATTACATCTTAATTACGAACAATAAACATGATTATTAATTCTTTTTCAGTGCTAAATGATTATTTACAAGTAATTAAATTAATTAATGCTTTAAACAGTTCTTACAAAAAAAAATTAGTCTACTTCTTCAATTGTTGGACCATTACTAGCAGTATTACCTGATTGTTGACCAGAATTGAAAGCATTTCCACCTTGATGCAATTTGGTCATCAACGGAGACAGTTCAGATTGAATTTCTTTCAATTTGTGCTCTATCTCATCTTTTTCAGCTAATGTATTACAGTCCAACCACTGAATAACAGAGTCACATTTTTCTTTAATTTTTGCTTTGTCAGCAGGTGACAATTTGTCATCAGATACAGATTCTGATGCTTGCTTGACAGAATATACATA